CTCCTGCTGCCACACTATGGCTGATACAAAGTCAGAGTGGTGGAGGGAAAGGGGCAGATACTGAGAGTCAGTGCTGTAGTTACAGGATCTGCGTGTTTAAATAGTGGCAGTTGCAGCCAGGGGAGACGATCATGCTTAACCAGGTCTTTTGAATGAAAGCTGGGGCCTGTGGTACCGTTCTGATTCAAATTGCAAAAAGTGTTATTTTTAACAAAGCACCTCCTACAATGTTTCTCGCTCGACCTGCATCTCAGCACTGTAGCACAGATGCTACTGGTGCAGTTATACCCACAACATTCAGGAATAACAGGATTTCATAAATTATGGCAAGATAAAGTAGACAGAGTTGGTACTGACTTGCTGATGACAACGCATGTGTAACACTCTTCCAGCTCACTTTTCTGGTTATTCCCTTTTGCATGATGAACTGGAATGATCTTTATATATAACATAACACACTGTATTATGTTTATATATATATATTACATAATACATAAATATGGTTCCATGTTTTATATATACAATATATATATTTTATATATATGTTTCACTTTGGCCTTCTCATGATTTGTCTTCTCCTTTTTGTCGCTGTGCTTTTTCACAGTGTAAATGTAAAAGCACAAATCCAGCACAGTTTCCTATCTCCTTTTAAAATCTTTAAATAGCCTTTTCTTGCTGTCATGCAGCACATCCTAGCAGAAGTTATTTGGTGTTAACAGCACTCAAGGTACTCTAACAAAGAAATCAGTGACTGTAATAGCTTCTATTAAACCTGGTACTATGTTTTGGTAAATGCACCTTCCTTTCCTTTGCATCTGTGACTAAAAGGTGCTTTGAGGAGGAGGAGAATGTGTGCTTTTTATAGAGCCATGCAGGGTATGGATTCATTTTGTTGGGTTTTTCCTTAACCATCTTTCCCAAAGTCTGCTTTAGGGTGACTGTTTATGTAAAGTCTAGTGTTTCCTAGTGCTGTATTTTCAGACTTTATGCAGATGAAATGCTTGTGGTCACTGTCACTGGTTCACCACATGAAGGATGCCTAATAGCATGGGAGCTGTGTTGTCAGGGGGAGGAGCTCGTCCAGGAAACTTTTGGAAAATCTGTCTTGTTTAAAACAAACAAACAAAATTCTAGTAACATCTTTTACATGACTGTAACCATGCGTGGTATGTGCACTCCCTCCCTTCTCCTTGTCTCCAGTGTATATATAGATTGCATTCAGCCAGTGCTGTGGAGTCTGTGCACTCCAACATGCAGCAGGGAGCCAACAATCCATTTTCTGTGACTCTCCCCTGCCTGTAATCTAAGAAGGCAAGAATTGTTTCTATGCAGTTTATGGAGGTTGGGGAGGGTCTTTGTGTGGTTTTAACACAAACTAAAAAAACCTCAAAAAAACCCCAAAAGCTTTCTATTTTCACTGTCTTGCAAGGCATCCTAGAGAAACTGGAATCCTTTCCCACAAGGGAAACTCTGAGTACAGTACATATGGTTTATATGGCCAGGGATTGATTGCAGGATGTACCTGTCTGTAGCAGGTTATCAAGTAAAACTCAGCAGATCTGGAACTGAAGCAGGCTGCTTCCTGCCTGTAACAAGACCAAGAGATTTTGCAGACCATTAATTCATCCCTCTAATCAGCTGGAAATTTCAGAGGTGCTTAAAAGAGTTGCCTCTTGGGCACCCTTGGAAATACCAGTTAACTTCGTTATGCTTTTTATGTTGAGTCTAATCTGTGCTTGCAGATTGATCTTTTTCTCATGATGGAAATGCAGTAGTAGTAGTAATTGCTGTTGCATCTTTGATAGGAATCATGCAACATGAATCAAATAGTATAACTCATTTAAAATAACATTAAATATATACAGTGATCCTAAGGAATGCATGCTCAGTTCTGCTTGTGCTGTCTGTCTTGTCCTGCTTATCTTCTGTAGAGGTATAATTCTCATAGGCTTAAATCCTGTGCTAATGTGTCTCACTCCTAAATAGGACTACCTGATTTTATCCTCTTGGTTGGAAAAAGGTTAATTAAGGGAACAATTAGAAAAGCTCATTAAAACTGCATTCAGGTTCAGTGTAATGAAAAGTGCACTTCCTGTGACAAGATGATTCCGAAATCATGCTCTTCTGATTTCCCCCTGACACGGTTCCCCAGCACTAGTCCATGTTTGAAGCAGTGTCTTGGGCTGTGCTGCTGTCCTTGTTTGCATTACTGTGGTGGTTGTGATAGAGACTGGAACAATAACCTTAATCCCAGGCACCTTCTCACCCCTGAGGGAAGGGAGGGGTTCCGCAGGAATTTACAATCTGCTTTGCGTTGCATTTCCATTTCTTGGGTCTCAGGTTTTTACAGCAGGGAAAGCATAAATTCGGATAGATTACCCCCACCTTGGCTTTGCAGACAGTGTCAGTACTGAAGGCAGCCCAGACCTGGCTGCAGGAGCCTCCTGCAGCTGTGAGCACCCTGCATAAATCCAGTCTCTGGCTTTTCTGGGCCTGATTCCTCACAAAACGGCCATGAACGTGCTAGTTTAGCATAGTCCGTGAAAGCCAGTTCTGTATCCTGGGTTCTGCTTCAGTGGACTGGGACTGTCTGTCTAAAAACAAAATCACAGCAGCCAAGGAATTGTTTGCTTGTGTAGTCAGCCCAGCCTCTGTTTCTCGTCCCTGATTCCAGTCTGAGATTGTGAATAAGTCACGTGGCTGGATCGGACAGTCTGGGGAGGCTCGCAGGGAAAAGCAGTGTTAGATGGGCCTGTTCAGCACTGGGCTGGTTCAGACTTCAAAAGTCAGGTCGACTCATGATTTTGGAAAAGTAACAGATTTTCTTAAGATTGCCTGTACTCACAGAACTGTGGGGCTGCCTCTCACAGGGCTTTGGGTGCAGGTATCACCTTTTATCCAACGTTGTTACAGCATCAGTAAGGGCAGCAGAGTTGGGGAGTTTGGCAGATACAGATCTTGCATTACTGGATCCTTCTGAAAAGGAAGACTCAAGTGGCAGTGGGATAGAGCTCCTTTCTGGTATGAGAGTGCAGTGGGGGATCTTCTGGCCTCGACGCTGCTGCAAAACTGCCTCAAGGGCTCTATGCAGCCAGGCCTGTTGATCAGCAGCAAGTTGGGATTACACTGAATACTGTTGAACAGAGACTGATTTGTCCTTGACTCAGATGTTGAAAAATGCTGAGCAGTTGGTGTTACAGCAGAGAATTCCATCACTCCGTGAAACAAATCTCAGCTTTTCCCTGATAAGGACTTGAGAAATGATGAAGCTTTGCACATCCTGGTTTTGAGCCTCAGTCTGTGTGATGCTCATTGCAAATGTATGTGCTTTCAGCTTTTTTTTTTCTGTAAGCTAAGCCATGTGCCAGTGTGAAGCTTAAAATCCAGAGCAGTGGTTCAACATCCTTGTTTCAGGTTCATCTCAGTAGGGTGGTACCTGCTGCTGGCAGACACTGCACGGCACGGACACCGCTGCTCTGAACTGTGTCCTCGTGTTGAGTCTGCAGGGAAGCCTGTTTAGGAGGGTTAGATAAACACAATTAGGCTGCATTGCCAGCAATGATGTTTTTATTTAATGCATTAATGAGTGCAGGTGGCAGGACCTCTGAAGTGAATTAAATGCAGTGCAAACTCGTGCTGTACTAGCAGAGCCATTGTGAGCCACTGAGTGCTGAGCCAGCTCGTTTGAGAGATGAGGTGGGAGATGGGAATGAGCTTCCCATGCCTGAATGATAATTTTGAGCATTACCTTACAGCACAACCAGCTTGTGCCAAAGAACCAAGAGCAAGAGAGTGTGGTTTAGAGCTGCATTTCTGTCAATAACAGCATTAAGATAAGGTGGTCACAAAAACAGATTTACTTGCTTGTCACCTTATTCTGTTACCTGGTAGGATTCAATAATGCACTGGTTAAAAGAATTCTGTTCAGCCCTCAGCAGCACTTACAGTGCTAGAACACCACCACCCGAGTCCCTTCATTTCCTTCCATAGGCAGGATGCTGGAATCCAGCACAGCTGCTGTGCTCTGCTGGCCTTTCCCACAGTGAAACCTGGGTTTTATTTCCTTGAAGCTTGGTATCAGTGAAATGATCCCTGGAAAGCTTGTATTGATTGCACATGATTGTCTAATTAAAGTGCAATAACAAGGATTTCAGAACACTCGCTCTCACAGCCCTGTGCTTTTATTGTAGACACTGTAAATTAGAAAGCTTTCTGTTCAAAGGTGGAAAATGTCAGTGTTTATTTCCTTTTGAATTTCCCAGCAACTCCTGAAGGCTGCACTTGTAGATGTGTCATTATTTTTTTTCCTAAAAAAGCAGTAGGAAAGAAGTGTTACTTAGAGGAGAAATGAGGCCCTGTAGGATTGCAGGGGCCCTGCTAGCTGTTCTGACCCTGCTAGCTGTTACCCATGTTGTCTGAAGGGAAGCACTTCTAAATGAATGTATTTTGCTCTGAAACCTGCTAAGATGATCCTTTTTTAGCATCATGTGCAGAGATGGGTATTAATTATACAATATATAGATACTAGTCTTTAAATAGTGCTCTCTGGTCTTACCTGGAGGCTGTTTGTTGATCCATCTGGACTTTATGGCTGTTTTGCTCCCTCCTGCTTGTGTTTTGTACCTTCTGGTAACTTGGATCTTCCTGAGATGTGTGCAAGGCAAATCCTAGTCCTTAATACATACCAGGAACCCAAGAGTTTGTCATCACAAGTCTGCATCTTGCTTAGCCACTGATTGAATTGGTGGCCTTGGAGAAATCACTGAACTTACCCAAACCTTCTGCTTGCATCTAATCACTGGGTGATCCCTGATTCACTGTGATACATTCACAGAGCTTTATGAATGATCAGTAATTCTGCCCAGGATGCTGAGCAGAAAGATGCTATAGAGAATGGTGGACTTTGAATTAATGAATGATTCACCAGTTGCACACAAACCTCCTTTAAATATGTTTGGCCTCGTGTGTGGAACTGACTTTTCCCTTTCTTCCTCTTCCAGGTGTACTTTCCGATTCCCCAGCACGGTTATAAAGATCCAGTTCACATCTTTATACCATAAAGAGGAAGTAAAAGAGGAAACCTCATCGCCTCCCCCTCGACCACTTTACCCTCAAATATCACCTCTGAAGATCCACATCCCGGAGCCGGATCTCCGGAGCGTGGTCAGTCCCCTCCCATCCCCCACAGGCACTATCAGGTAAGTTGTTAATTATCCACAGTGTGTTCTCTGACATCAGTCTGTCAGCCCTGCTTTGTTTGGTATCCTTGGTGCAAGAAAAGCCCCGTTAAAAATAACTAGTTAAATATCTGATGTTCAGGATTATGGAAGACAGCTAAAAACTGTGTTACGGTGGCTGGAAGAAGGGCACAAGGGTTGTGCTTAAGAGCTCAAAGGGCTCAAGGGGAAACATAAAGTAGTCTGATATCTATAGTTTCATAGCTATAGAGTTACTAGTCTATCTTTGGAAGTGGAATTAGAAATATTTATTGAGAGCTACCTATATGCATGGAAAAAAGAAAGCAGGCAAATACTTTCTATCTTAGGGCTGCCTGTTTTATTTTTATCTCGGTAATATTCTGTTGTTGCTGGGTGGTGCTGCTTTATCTGAAGTGAGGGACAAGGCTGGCCATTGGCACGTGGTTTCCTGGGAATGGAAGGAAATGGGGGTAGGATGCTGACCATGTACTGAGGGGCTGTAGCAATCTGAAAGTGCATCTGTGCCAGTATCCTGTTTTGCACACGATCTGATTTGTGGATGTGCAGTACAAATAACCTGAACATCAAGTTACTATCTGGAATATTTTCCTTCTTTCTCAGCGAAGAGTTGATGTTACAGAGTTTCAGTGAAATCTTTCAATGTTACATCTCTTAATTGAAGTATACTAAGTTTTATAAAGTAAAGGAGACTCGTGGTATAGGATGATGTATTAAAATTTTAAAACAGGTGGGCATCAAAATAGCAGGAGTGAGCCTGGTAACAGCGGTAGCCTTTGGGTTGTTTTCATGTCTGTACATTTGTAAAAAGGTAAATTACGTAAATCTCTCCTGACAGTTACCACTAATTCAGTGAGTAGTATTCAAATTTAGGTGGCTGAGAATGACTTCAGTGTCACAATGAAGCCAGTTTGGTTTTGCATAGATCTGGAGGCTCTCACTTGTTTGGGTTTTTCCACAGGTCTTTCAGAGCTGCACAGATGTGCAGTGCAGATATTCTAGAAAGAGGGGGCTGGAGGTAGCTGTGGTTTTAGCCCTCTGTTCAGGCACTGCTTTTAGTTTATATTTAACCTTCTCTTTTTAGATGAAGCTTGTTGCTGGGAGGGGAGGGGGATGGATCCTTTGCCAACATATGGTAGTTAGTTTCCATTCAGTCATCTTGTGCAGAGCAGCTCGGTGTGGTTTGTGTTACTAACAGAGGCTGTATCTTTTGACTCCGGCATATGCCTGCAACTGATATTTGATTCCCTGAGAATGTTTCTTTTGCAGAAGGAGAAAGTGGAAATGGTAGTGTTGAATTGTGCTCAGCCCCTAACGCAGTGTTTACTAAGGATGATTAATGGTTGCATCCGTTTGTCTCGAGCAGAAGCTAATCCAGCCAAGTCTTCAGAAAACCTCAAAAGACATCTGAGGTTTCGCTTGCCAAACCCCTTTCGTTTCCGAGTTCCTCTTACAGAGGAGGGGCTGACACGTTTGTAAACATCCCTGCTCAGCCCTTTCAACCTCCCCCTCTTCCCCCAGCAGGGTCTCGCAGCTCTGCCCTGTGGGCCAAGCTTTGGAAAGTCATTTGGGGTGTTTCTGCCTGAGAAAGGGAATGCTCTTTGGGGACAAAGTAGCTCTGCACTCTGGCCATCTGGCTTTCAGGGCAGCTCTCTGCTGCTTTCTCGGTGGGGTCACAGTGGTAGGTGAGGCTGGCACAGTGTCCTCTCTTCCTTCCCAAGGGCAGGTCTGAAAGGGCTGGCGAGGGCTCAGCGTGGGACCTGCACTCCTCTCCCATCGCTGGCTTTGGGAGGTGGTTGCCTGAGCTGGGTTCTCCTCCTCCTTCCTCTCCCCCTTCTAGTATTTACTTTCCTAATTTGGTGAGTTTGCCTTGCTCCTCCCTGATTGGCCCATGGAAAATTATTGCAGTTTGGAAATCCTGGGCAGGGTGAAATTTCCTTTTTGGAAAGTGGCTCCTGGCCCCCTTTTCCTGCCTCCACCCTGGTGCAGGGCAGGGGCTGTACCTGCACTCCCAGATCCAGCTCTGCCCTCCTGACCCCCAACCCTGCTCTGCCTCCCTGTTTACACTGCAACTTGCTTCCCTGCAGGTTCTCCCCTGCAAGCTTCTGGGGTTTTTTCCAGCCTATTTATTTTCCCTCTGCAAAGTGCAGCGCCTGGAGAAGGGAATGAGCTTTAGTTAAACAAAACCAAACCTGCCACCCTCAGCAGCTTTGCAAAGCAAGATTCGTGCTTGCTCCTGGGGAGAAATGTGCTCACTGTTTTCTCAGCTAGGTATTTTATCTCCAGGAGGGGCTGTGTGTGGATGTGTTTTGAATGCTGTTGTACAGCTTTAAGGGAAAATGTTGGTTGGCAGCATGCTGTGAGAGTTACACACAGGCAGGGCTTATTTCTTCCTGCTTTGAGTTCAAAATGCCTTTTTAAAAAAGTCAGACTTGCATGTTCCAGAAAGGAACAGGCCGCTGTGGTTGTAATAAATTGGTAGAAGCAGCCTGCCATTTTATACAACATGTGAAAGAACAGAGGAGCACCAAATCTCCTCTCAGTAAGTTCAAGGCATTGAAAAGCTGTGTGAAAACCATGAGCAGTTTGGTTAAATTCAGCTCTGCCTTTTGGGAGATACAGCATGTCAGGGTCTGCAGCTTGTCTGTGGAGAATCCTCTTTGGATGGCAGTGATATGAAGTTTCTCACCTATGCTGCAAACTCTTAGCTTTGCCTGTTTTTGTGATAAATCCACAATATCTACGTGAATGTGACTCCATATGTGTTGCAATCCAAGCCTGTGCTTGGATTATAAGCAGATCCGCAGAGACAAGGTGTGATGTAGGAGCCTATTACTGGCCTTGAAGTCGTGCTGAGTTGGAGATAAGATTTGCAGTGTTTAGGTTTCCTTTTATTATTGTCCAGTTTGTGTTAATGGCTCTGTAGTTGTAACTCGGTTTTTCAAATAGCATCCCTCTACAGCACTCCCCCTCAGAGTTAGGGTGGGTTTAGTATTTATGAAAATTAAATTCTCTCTCTGTACATGCTTCCCTATTCTAAACAGCAATTGTGATCTCACTGATAAATAGATAGATATAGATATATATGTATAAACTACACTAAAGAAATACTAAATGCTGTACTATGGAGGTCAGTGCCATTATTCATATTTTACAACTACTGCTTCTGGCTTATCTCTGCACTGAAATGACTGTGGGCTTGGATGCTTTGTCTTGTTTGGGTTTTTTCGTGGAAAGGGCATGGATAGTTAGCTCACATACACAGTCTTTATCAGTAAAAAGAATTCTTTGACATGTAGGAGTACGAGTCGTTAGAGCCCTGTGAGAACCGCTGCTTGAAAAGTGTCTGGCGAGGTTCTGTGCTAATAGCTAAACTGGTACATATTTGTGTGTGGACTCAAATCTGTATTTTAACTGTTAGTACTTAATGTGCCTGCCCATGTCTGACTGTTACTGGAAGGGCTGGTAACTAGTTTTCAATTAAATTAATGGTATGAATAATGAGAGATCAGCATCTTTCATTCTGTAAGCTTGATTAGTAAACCAGAAGATGTGAGCGAATTGCCATGGTTTCATAAGCTACAGTCCCTTTTTTCACCAGGCAAAATTAGTTTAGTAACACGTTACGTGCTCTGATAGTGAATTACTCAGAGGTAGCTGCAATTATCTAGACTTAGCCACTAACTTGTTTTGTGGCCTTTAACAGGTCATTTAAATTCATTGTGTAATTACTGCTTTACAAGTGTGTGTAGTAGATAAATTATGTATTGACCTTCTACTCCGTAAAGCATGACAAGAGTGTGTGTGAGCCATGGTACAGCAGACCTGCAAATGCTGGCTGTGCTTTGATCCAGACTTGGCCTGGATAAAGGGGAAGCTTTTAAACAGGCTCTGGGATAGCCATGTGCCGCTGTTTCAGAACACCTGGGATTTAATCTGAGCTTGCACATTGACTCTAAAGGTGTGTAGTGGGACTCTGAATGAACCCTGACTTGAGTGGATGCATTCACTCACTGGAACGGGATGCATAAATATTGCCTGCTCCGTTTCATTCAGGCTTCCCTTCTTCCCAGAGCACCGTGAGCCATTGAACTGAAACGCCTCTGAAGAGCTCCAAGGCAGGTTTTTTTGCAGGCTCTTTTGCATTGTCTCAGTTATACATTACTTCCTGCATTCAGGCAGAATATGCAGCTCAGGCAACTCCCACAGTTGGACAGACCGGTGATTATTTTTAATCACCCGAGTCTCCAAACCACAAGCCAAGGAGTGTGATGCATATACATCGTGTAAGAGAAGCACCAGTCTGTGCTGGGCTTGGGAGCTCTACTCATGTTTATTTCAGATAAGGGACCATGTGCTGGAGGAGATGTGCCAAGCCATGTGCTGGAGGAGAGGTTGCAGATGTCACCAGCTACAGGAGCACTTCCTCTTCCCCAGTCAGTGTAAAATTTTAGTTCACTGAATCCACAACTGGAGTGAGGTCACTTCCTTTCAGAGAAGGGAACCACTGGAGCACTGACAAGTAATAACAATTTCAACTTTTGTGGATAGCTCACTTTCTCTCATTGTGGCTTGTTCGACAGCTTTGTTTCTTCTTCAGCGTTAAGCAGGCAGGGTAGCTCTCAGATTTCTCCTTTCACATCAAAATCCAGCTTGGTTTGGCAGTCTCACCACTTGTGATTATTTCTGAAACCTGTCTGAAACAGGCAACGTGCAAGGACTTGCCTTTCTTTGAGTTATGATTTTGGGGCTAGGCCGGGGAAGGCGAGAGCAGCGGAGGATTCTCACCCATTCCTGCTGATTGGTGTATCGTGGAAAGGCTTGTTTCGCAAGTCCAAGGGCTGTACTTTGACCTGATTCTTGCTTATTGCACGTAAAAAGCGTCCCTGTATCTTCATGCCCCTTTTTTTGCAGGCTCAGGAAATGGAATATTGGGGTAGTCTGAGGTTTGTGGCATTTCTCTAACCAGAGTCCTTGAGCAG